AACAAAGCCGTAATTGGGTGTGGGCATTGATTCGTAGGTGTTTTTTGTTCTAAGAAAAATGTCTGAAAACTACAATCAAACCTTTTGCACCACCATTCTAATTACTCAAGTTCCAACAATCATATATATCCACTTAAATAAATAACTAGTTTTTAAAATAGAAATGATTCATCTCTCTAATTTAAGAGTTTTAAAAAAATATTAGTGATATGAAAAATAAAATAAAAAATAAAAAAGCCAAGACCCAAAACACGTGTCCCACCTTATTTGTATTTATATATACTTTTAATTTATATTTTTCAATTCCCTCAATTGAAATAATAATTTTAATATTTTTATAAAATAAAAGTCAAAATTATATTTTTATCACCAATTCATAAGGTTAACTTAGTAATTACAATCTCCTATGATATTATTTTTACAAGCATACAATAGTCCGAGTAAAACATATGGATTACTAGTTTAATTTTTGTCTTTAAACCTGCAATCGAATTAAATCAACAATTAAGAACAAAAAAAAAATAAAAAATACTACGTTTAGCAACGAGTCATGAAATGACCGCCTAAGTGCATGAACCAATTGGGTATTTATTTATTTATTTATTTTTTATAACCGGATGGCTGGACTAATTTATGACTATGTCTTCGTTTATGATATGAGTTGATTTTTTAATTTTTTTAATTATTTTAATATTGGGTTAAAAAATTTAATTTTGAATATTTTTTTTATTTTATTTTTTTGATTTTTATGTGAGAAAAAATAAATACTGTGTTTGGTAAGACTTTCCAAAACTTTATATTATAATCCTACGTTTAGTAAGAATTTTCAAATTATGATTCCAAATCAATTTTAAAACACATTTTAAAAACATGTTTAGTAAACCAGATATTTTTTGAATTTTTGGTCTACCGGGTCGTCCGCTTGAACATCCTCCAAGATGTCCGGCCAATCGTCCAACCTATTGACTGGAACAGTAAAATTTATTTATTTTTTTCCAATTGCCAATCGCCACATGTTATTTGGGAAAAAAAAAATTATATTTGTTTTTGATATTTTTTAAATATAGAAATTATTTTGTTAGACCAAAAATGACAATTTTTTTTTTAAATTGAATTTTAAAAAGAGTTTGGTTATGAATTTTGAATATAATTTTCAATAGAATTTTGAGTTGCGTGTTTAGTTATGAGGTACAAGTTTTTGAATTGAGTTTTGAAATCATAACCAAATAACTTTTCTCATTTCATATATCACATCAAAAATTTAAAACTCATTTCAATATTCAATTCAAAATAACCAAACAAAGGTTCTTTTTTTTTAAATCAAAATTCTAAAACTCATAAATTCAAAATACAATTCTATTCTCAAATCATAAATCTAAAACTCTACCAAATGCTACTGAAATGATTATGATTTGAATGTGACATTTTGAGGCATTTTGAAAAGATGATTAAAAGTTGATTTTTTGAGTTTTTTTTTTAATCTTTTTTGACTTTTTTATGTGAGAGATAATATGACCAAAAATGGGTTAAAAACTAGCTTTTAGTTTTTTTTGTATGTTCCCAAATGAATCATTTGTCTTATTCACTTTTTAACTTATGATTGGTTTGGGATAACCTACAAAAGCCAAAAAGTTACACACACAAAAAAAAAAAACCCAAAAACTCCATACTATTTGGGAAAGCTTGTAGGAGAAGTCTAGAAAGCAAAATTATTATTTTGCCATTTAAATTCAACTACCTAAAGGTCACGTTTGTTTGGCGGATTAGGTTGGATGAGATTATTAGTGAGAGAATTGTTAGTGAAGAGATTGTTAATGTGTGGATTATTAGTGAGGGGATTAAGTAAAAGCGTATTTGTTTTGATGATAGTGTGGGAGATGGTTAGTGATGAGATTGTTAAATTATTTTTATATACAATATATAAATAAATTATTTCTATATTAAAAAAATTAAAATAATAAATTTTTTTATATAAAATAGACTCAATCCCCTCACTATTTTCCTAATCTCACCTAAAATTCACCCAAGCTAATCCCCCTACAGAGGGGGATTACTAAGCCCCCTTCACTACTAATCCTATCACATTGTGTTGCATCCAAACAAGGGTTTGGTGGGTCTCACGAATTGATAATCCAATTCACCCTATATTAAAAAAATTAAAATAATAAATTTTTTTATATAAAATAGACTCAATCCCTTCACTATTTTCCTAATCTCACCTAAAATTCACCCAAGCTAATCCCCTACAGAGGGGGATTACTAAGCCCCCTTCACTACTAATCCTATCACATTGTGTTGCATCTAAACAAAGGTTTGGTGGGTCTCACAGATTGCTAATCCAATCCGCCCTCCCAAACCCCCAATCAAACATGGCCAAAAGTCAACAAAGATAGAATGGTCATTTTGATTTTACTATAATATTTTATTACACATTTTTTCTTAAAAATTCAAAAAGTTATCTAAACATATATTTTTTTTTCCTATTTTTTTAGCTAAAAATTCAAAAAGTGCACTTATATAAAACATTCCAAACAACATATTTATCTTTTTATGGCTAAAATAGCCAAACAAAAACATGCCAAACATAGCCTATATATTTTCCAACTTCTCTCCCATCAACACCCTAAAATGAAAACGGAGTTTATTTTATTTTATTTTATTTTTACAATGAATGTAATGAAGAAAAAATAATAAAAGTTTTAGTCATTGAAATTTTCTTAAAAAAATAAAATAAAATCCAACACTCTTAGATTACTTACCGTCAAAGAAAAACAAAAGATAAATATTAATAATTACTTGAAAAACCATTTCTTCTAAACAACACAAAGTTGTAAAACAATTTGGAAAAAAAAAATTATCTATACAAGTTGTAAGACAACCTTTTTTAAAAAATTGTATAAATTTATGTAAAACAACTTGAAAATAAAAAGAAAGAAAGAAGAATACGAATTCTATAAATATAAATTTTACACAATGACTCATTAAGTAGCCAACTCTATTACGGATTTGTACTTTACTTTTGTACTTCCTCTCCAAACTCATTCCAAAGCCTCCCAATTTTTCCCCAAATGACCTCTCTTTGAATCTCTAAATCTAATAACTGTTCTTTTTCTATTACATCTCTTTCTTCCTCAATTTGTGTTTTTTTTTTTTGTTTTCCAATTTATTTGAGCCTCCGTTTGGAAAGTGGGTTAGCTTTTTGGGTTTTTAATTTTTTTAATTTTTTTAGCTTGGGTTAAAAAGCTTAGTTTGGGAAGGATTTTTTGACTTTTTGAATTTTTTGACTTTTTTTGTGAGAGAAGAGTGTGATGATTATGAGTTGAATGTGATATTTTATTTGTTGTGGTTAAAATAATCTATTTTGTCTTTTGTGACTAAAATAACCCCAAACCTTCTTGCCAAAAGGAGCAGTATATTTAACAGACTCAATCTCCTTCTCTGAAAAATTAAAAAGTAAAAATAAAAAAAATTCATGAAGCAGAATGATTGTAAAAGGAGAGGAAGAAAAAAAAAATTTATACCCAAAAACAAATAAACAAAAGTTTTAATCATTGACAATATAAAAAATGAAAACTCTTAGGCCACTTACCACTAAAGAAAATTGTACTTTTTTTGTCACAATTGAATGAAGCACTTTTGTACTTTTTTTTAAAAGAGAAAATGATTGTAGAAAGAAAGGAAGAAATAAAAAAGTACAAAAGAAAAATAATAAAAATAAGTTATTAAACAAAAGAAGAAGTTATGATAAAGTAGTTATTTAGAGAATGTGATTTAGTAGAAGTTATTGTAAAATAAATTTTATTATTATTATTATTATTATTATTATGTAATTGTCACGTGACAAAGATTTCAAGAAATTATAATAGAGACTCACTTAATATAAAAATATATAATTTTCAATTTTCTCATTTGAAATAATAATTTTAATATTTTTAGAAAATGAAAGTCAAAATTATATTTAATCACCAATTCATGAGATTAGCCTCCGTTTGAGAAGCGGATTAGTTTTTTATTTTTTTGGCTTTTTTTAGCTATTTTAACATGGGCTAAAAAGTTTAGTTTTGAAAGAATTTTTTAACTTTTTGACTTTTTTTTATAAGAGAAGAATGTAATGATTATGGATTAAATGTGATATTTTATTTGTTATAGTTAAAATAGTTTATTTTATCTTTTGTGACTATTTTAGCCACAAATTAACTTGTCAAACAACACCTACAAGCAGACAATAGTTCGAGTAAAACATATGTATTTCTAGTTTAATTTTTGTGTTTAAACTTGTAATCCAATTAAGGGGTTGTTTGGGATAAATTAAATAAGCACTTTTTGACTTTTTATAAATATAAGTTGGGTATGGGTTGGGTTTGAAGTGATGTGATAGAGAAATGATGTGACTTAAATATGATAGTGACTTTGTAACTTTTTAATTTTTTTTTATTATGCCAAATTAACAACTGTTTTGAAAAGATAGTTATAATTAACTTTTTAATAAAAAAATTACTTCTAAAAAACTTATAAATAATTTTTTTTTAAGAGAAAAAGTAAGTTATAATCTAATAAGCAAACTATAACCCATTTTAAAAAAGAGTCGTAAGCCTAAATCAACAATTAAGATGAACAAGAAAGACAAAAATAACAACTGCTCATGAAGTGACCGCCCAAGTGCATGAACCAATTCGATATTTTTTTTTATTTATTTATTTTTTAATTTTATAAAACCGAATGTCTGAACTAATTTAGAAGTGGGTTGGTTTTTTAATTTTTTGATTTTTTAGTTATTTTAATTTGGATTATTTTAATCTGATTTGAGAAAGACTTTTTAATTTTTTGATTTTTTTAACTTTTTTTTTTAAAAAATATTGTAATGATTATGGATTAAATTTGATATTTTATTTTTTATAACTAAAATAATCTATTTTATTTATTTATTTATTTTTTAACTATTTTAGCTCCTAACCCACCCAAACCTTATTGCCAAACAAAGCCTTATATATACCCCCAACTTCTCTCCCATCATCAACACACACTAACGCACCTTCTTCTCCGTGACACTTGTTATAGTAGAAATCAAACCATATCATATCATAATGCCTTGGTCTTCATCATCAGTATCCACATTATCCAAATGCACCATTTACGCAGAACAGAAATCCACCATAAAGTCCCTAAAACTCTCTGTCTCGGACCTTCCTATGCTCTCATGTCAATACATCCAAAAGGGTGTCTTACTCTCACTCCCACACATTCCCTCGGACTCCCTAATCTCTCTCCTCAAACTCTCTCTCTCTAAAACCCTCACCCACTTCCCCGCCCTCGCCGGCCGCCTCTCCACCGACACCGCCACCGCCCAAATCCACATCCTCTGCAACGACTCCGGCGTCCAATTCATTCACGGCCGCGCCAAAAATATATTCTCTCACGACATTCTTACTCCTCTCGACGTCCCCAATTGCTTCAAAAGCTTCTTCGCATTCGACGACACTCTCAGCTACGCCGGCCATTACAAGCCTTTAGCCGCCGTCAAAGTCACCGAGCTCGCTGACGGACTCTTCGTCGGCATCACTGTCAATCACGCCGTTACTGACGGAACTTCTTTCTGGAACTTTTTCAATACTTTCGCCGAGATCACCAAAGGCGCCCAAAAAGTCTCTAACTCGCCGGATTTTCGCCGGAACACCGTTTTTGACTCTCCTGCAGTGCTCCGGTTCCCTGATGGCGGTCCGTCGGCTACATTTTCCGGCAACGAGCAGTTGCGAGAGAGAATATTCCATTTCAGCAGAGAATCGATTCTGAAACTGAAATTGAAAGCGAACCACCGAACAAAACTCGACGGTTGGAGAGCTGTTAACGGTAACAGTAACGGAAAGATAACGCAGATTTCGTCGTTCCAGTCGCTGTGCGCTCAGCTGTGGCGGTCGGTGAGCCGAGCTAGAAAGCTGGAGGGTTGTAAAAAGACGACTTTTAGAATGGCGGTCAACTGTCGTCACCGGCTGGAGCCGAAGCTGGAGCCGTTGTACTTTGGGAATGCGATACAGAGCATTCCGACCATTGCTTTGGCCGGGGAGCTCTTGTCTCGAGATCTGCATTGGAGTGCAGATCTGCTGCACCGTAACGTGGTTGCGCACGATGATGCTACAGTGCGCAGAGGGGTGAAGGATTGGGAAAGTAACCCTAGGCTGTTTCCGCTAGGGAACTCCGACGGTGCATCAATTACGATGGGTAGCTCGCCGAGATTCCCGATGTACGATAATGATTTCGGGTGGGGCCGACCTTGGGCCGTACGGAGCGGAAAGGCGAACAAATTCGACGGTAAGATCTCGGCCTTTCCTGGCCGAGATGGCGGCGGGAGCGTTGATCTGGAGGTGGTTTTGGCTCCGGAGACGATGGCTGGTTTGGAGGTTGATTTGGAGTTCATGCAATATGTTTCTTAAATTAATCAGGTGACGTGGCAAAATCAGGTGGGAAGATCAGGGAAATGGATAGGGGTTCAAAATATGGTGATGGATGGCTGTGATTTGAATTTGTGTAACCGAGAGTGTTTGGACGTAGAAGTTTAGTACTAAGTACATTGTAACTATATCAACGAATTAGTCAATAAAATTTAAAATAATTGTATAATTTTTATATGGGTGAATTACATTAATAGTCTCTATAATTTGAGGTTTATGTTATTTTGGTCCCTGACTTTTTAATTGTGACACATTTGACTATGAATTTTGAATCTTGTTCAAAATAAAGACAATTGAAGATATCATTAGATTTTTCAAAGGTAAAATCGTCAATTTAATAAAATATAAACTAATTTGACAAAAACAAATGTCAAATAAATATTTTTGAATTTTTAAAACTTATTTCTATCCACTAAAAATAAAATTATTTTAAATTGATAAATTTTTTAGACATTTATTTATTTTTTTACCAAATTAATTTTTATTATGTATTTGGATGATGATCATGTAAAATTAATTTTTAAAAATTAATAATGTAATTTTTATTAATTTTTTTTATCAATTTTACATAATTCTATTATTGGTGAATAAAAATAATTTTTAAAAAATAATTTTTGTCAAATTAGTTTATATTTTATTAAATTGACAAATTTGTCCTTAAAATTAAACAATTGTATTTTTAATTGTTCTTATTTTAAACAAGATTTAAAATTCGTGGTCATATGTGTCACAATTGAAAAATCAAGGACTAAAGTAACACGAGTTCCTAACTATAGGGACTGTTAGTGTAATTTGCCCTTTTTATAACAAAAAAAGTGCTAAAATTTGAAATATATATCTATAACATATATAAAAAGAACGTAAGAGTGGTGTAACATGGTGTAACGTTGGGCTTCTCAGCGTAGTTCTGTTGCTTCTTTGGTTTGTAAAGCTTTTCCTGCAGAAATTTTCCACAATGTTGTTTGCTTCATTTCTAACTCTTTCGTCACAGATTTTGGGTTGGGCACGTGGATTCCTAGAACTTCTCATTTGAGTTGGACAAATGCTGAGGTGTCTTCACAGGGTGTAGCGGTGAAGCGGTGCTTTTTGTTTGCTTATTTGGCTGATCTCACCCTTGGTTGCCTTCACATTTTTTTGCACTGGTGTGGATTTCAATGACTTCTACAAGCTTCCTCTGATCGGTGTACCTCGATTTTATAATCTTGGAGCACCTCTTTGTAGAAGAATTGGTTGGGCAATATTTAAATTTCGCACCACCATCTTCTTACTCTACCTATTGCCGATATTCCTTCTCATTGTTTGTCTTTTACTAAGATGTTCATGCCTGATTTGTAAGTGTTTTCGAGCTTGTTAATGTGTGGAAAAATTATGCATACCAATTGTTTGACAATATGCCTAACTAAAATAACTCTTAAATTCTCTTCCTGGCAAAGCCTTTTCCTAAGATTGCAACAAAATTTCAAGGAAAAGGCCTGATTTATTTCATACAATTTGGTTTGTTTCAATTAATTTTTCCAATTCATTTGTTCTTGGGTAGATAGAGTTTGTAATGTGTTTTGATATTTGGTTTTTTTACAGATAAAAAATGATCGAAAGGCGCCTCACAAGTGGGCAAGTCAAAGAGCTCATCGAAGAGGCCCATGACAAGCTCAAACTCATCTCTAAGATGTTTCGTATGTATATTTCAATATTCTCTGTCTTCATTTGCTTTCTCTTTGCTTTTGAATGCATCGGTATCATTACAAGCAGAACCAATATCGAATATTGGGCTTCAAATTTTATGTAAGTGTTCAAGAGAATAGGATTTGAATCCTCTAATTGTAGATTAGGTTGTTCTTCGTGTCAAAGGGAAAAACAATTTTAAAGTTCTGTAAAAAAAAAGTTAGTTAGAAGATTTTTTTCATATGTATCTCTTTCTACAATTGTTGGATTCTCGATTTGTTTTGTTGTTTGATTTTGGTAAATTATGAATCATGTTGGTTAGAATTTTGTATTTAAAAAAAAAAATGGTTTGTTTTGTAATGGTTTTATTGTAAGTTGATCTGTTTCTTTCTTGGTAGGCGACCGTAGGGTTGATTTATTGGGTTGTTGTATTGTTAATTTTTTTTGATTCAATGCTATGTCTTATGATGAGTTGTCATGGAATTTCCTTGAATTCTATGAGGCCTTGTATGTTTAATCACTGATTTCAGGTACATGGTTTCAGTAGGAAAAATTTGTGATTAGAATATGGTGATAGCCTCTATTTTTACTTACTTCGAATAGATTGTATGGTCAACCACTTTTTTGGTTGCCAAACTAATTGTGGAAAAGAGATGCAAATAAAAATTAAAAACAATGAGCCTAATAGTTGCATCTAACCATGTAGAGTGTAGGCTTTTATTTTCTGTGCTTTCAAATAATAGAACCTAAACTCCAAGGGGTTAGCCGTTTGATGACTTGATTTGTGATATGTGTCTTAGCAAGCATAGGTCACGAGTTCAAATCTCATGAAATATCTAACCAATAATTATGCTGTACGTATTAGATGGCAAAACTGCATGTATTTGGGGAGTAGTTAGGGCAGAGCTCCGGGTATCTTTGTTATCAAAAAATTATAAAAAATGATAGAAAACCTATCACTCTCAGCACCAAAATTAGCATTTGCAGAACATAAGATGAACTGCAAATCAACTGTTCTATGGATTTTGGTTTACTGGTGTTATTATCAAGTGAGTTGACCTTTTGTCAAATTATAATATTTTTTCTGGTGATAAAGCAATGGGCAGCCCCAGATCTCTGGAGGAGGAGGAGGAGGAGGAGGTGGTGGTGGTGGTGGTAGTGGAGGTGGAGGTGCATAGAAACTAACAACCAATGATGCCTTAACGTACCTCAAGGAAGTTAAGGAAATGTTTCAAGATCAAAGAGATAAATATGACACGTTCCTTGATGTCATGAAAGATTTTAAGGCTCAAAGGTACATAGTTTTCTCCTCATCTGTTTATCACATGGTAAATGGGTCAGCACTAAATATTTCATCAAATTCATTTAATGGACTTAATTTTTTCAGAGTCGACACTACTGGTGTCATAGCGAGGGTGAAAGAACTATTCAAAGGGCACAACAATCTAATCTTTGGGTTTAACACCTTCTTGCCAAAGGGTTATGAAATTACCCTTATTGATGAGGAAGAGCCCCTGACAAAGAGTACTGTCGAGTTTGAAGAAGCTATAAGTTTTGTAAACAAGATAAAGGTGAAATTGTTTTTAGATTGTGTATATTGAGCCGCTGATTATAATTTATGGAGCATCTAATAATAGATGGATTTTTTTCCTACAGAAACGTTCCAAAATGATGATCATGTATATAAATCATTTCTTGAGATCTTGAATATGTACAGAAAGGAGCATAAGGGCATTACTGAGGTCTACCATGAGGTAAAATTGTAGTATCTTTTATTTTTCACTTAAATGACATAAATTGCTTTATATTTGACCATCCGTTGGTGTGCGGATAATTTTGTTATACTGATTTTTATAGTTTTAGAGATTATTTTCCATTGCTTTGTAGGTTGTTGTATTTTTTTCAGACCACTCAGATTTGCTTGATGAGTTCACAAGATTTTTACCCGATACTTCAGCTACAGCACTAGCTCCACATGTTCCACTTGGCCGACATTCTTTTCATTGCAATGATGAGAAGAGTTTTGCTATGACCACATCACGGCAGGTACCTGCGGTCAAGGTAAATTCTTGTTTCCTTTCATGGTTTCTTTAATTGTGATAACTTCTACCCAAATTTTACTGCAAATGAAGTTGGGTTTCCTCCTCTCCTTAACTTTCTGTGTACTCTGAATCTTGTATAATATCCTAATATAAGAGATAAAAAATCCGGAAGAGGAAGAACCAGACAAAAACCATAGAGATTTAGTCATTAGAACTAAATTTAAAAAATAAAATGCTATTCACTGTTTAGTGGGCGAATATTAGTGTTAATGTACCTATAAAAAATGTATTAAAAGTAAGACTAACAATCATTAGCATGACCAAGAAAGCTAAAACGGAGAAGATTACTAACCTGATTTTGACTGTTTCAGACAACCAAACATGCTTTTGATTTTTCATTACATAGAACTTGAATTAAACAAGATTGAATATATTCTTATTTTCTTTTAGTGATATTTCTCAGGAAATGTAAAATTTTATTGTGTATTGATGTTTATACTTGTTTAGTTTATCATTCTCAATTATGCATTTGTTTCTTGATGATCATTTTCTGCATTTCTTTGTTTATTTGTTTGTTTTCTTAAGGCCAAAAAAAGTTCTGGTTATCCTCAATTTAAAAATCTATTGCGTCCCTATATGTTAGTTCAGAACGTTTTTCAAAACTGGTAGACTGGTAGTGTATGCGTTTATATTGTTGTAATCGCCGGATGTGTCATGGATTGCTTACTGCTCCAAATGAGGAAACTTTGCATGTTTATTTGTTAAATAATTATTTCATCATTTTCTTTGGTTATTTTGTGTATTTTCAGTTATTTATTTGTCTCTCTCAATGGAGTTCTTGTTGTGATGCTTTGAATCACTGTAATGTATATGTTTGAGTAACAAGCCTGATTATTGTAGTGATGTTGAACCATGACAGCATTATCACTTGTATCTAAGAAGCTGCGTATGTTTGAAATAATAATATCACTTACGATAGGTTCTATTAAAGGAAACCATAGCATACTGGTTGATGGCTAATGAGCTGGTAGATAAATTTATTTGGTTTCAAACTCGATAATGTAGGTTTCTGTGCAAATTGGGTTTTGAGAACACTTATAATTAAGATGTTGAACCATGACAGCATTATCACTTGTATCTAAGAAGCTGCGTATGTTTGAAATAATAATATCACTTACGATAGGTTCTATTAAAGGAAACCATAGCATACTGGTTGATGGCTAATGAGCTGGTAGATAAATTTATTTGGTTTCAAACTCAATAATGTAGGTTTCTGTGCAAATTGAGTTTTGAGAACACTTATAATTAAGTGATTGGTGTCTCTTGATTGTGTGTGCTTGTGTAGAGTCCAAAAATGTTGGAGTATTCAGTGCTTGGAAGCAAAGTAACCGGTTTCAGGCATACAGATTTGTTATTCGCATTCTCATCTTCTATTAACATATTTTTTTTTGCCTTTATTATTAGTGGAATTTATGTTCTCACCAGTTCTAAAAATAGCTGGATGTTCTCTCTGCTTGTTTGATGGATTTTATATGGTAGAAACAGTTTGTACGCTTTCCACTTACCCATTAGAGTGTGTAGACCTGCTAGAATATTGTTTTTGACCGTCTCTTGTTTGTATAATGTGTTGGACTAGCCTGAGATTTCTTCTTGACAGGATCCAAAGTTGTGGATTGGTGATTTTCGGAGTTACCTTGATCGTTGGGTAACCTTTATTAGAAAAGCAAGCTTGATGAGCTGATATAATTTTGCCCCTTATCATGATATGCCTAATGGGCTTATTGTGCCATCAATACATGAAATCAAGTTCTTACACAACATTTTGTATCTCTTTTATAAATGTTTTTTCAGATCTTGGATTCGGGGGTGGCAAGTCGAAGTCCTTATACGGAAGTGATGGTCATCTCAGCATTGCTGTGGTTAAGTTTGCTGGTGACCAATTAGGCTTGAAGGATGCTGCGAGGCTTGTAGAATTCTTTGAGAAAGAAAACTATGGAATTAGACCCACGTATGAATGCATTCCAGGGTAAGTTTGATTTGAATTTTCTTATTTGATCAACAAAGAAGAAAAGAATACCATTTGTTAGGTTTTATTCTTAGCAATCCCGTTTGACAAAACTCCTTTGTGTTGTAATTTTATTTGCATTTTTATTTCAGTGAGGATATGAGTTGTTAGACTCCTTTGTGTTGTAATTTTATTCGCATTTTTATTTCAGTGAGGATATGAGTTGTTAGACTCCTTTGTGTTGTAATTTTATTCGCATTTTTATTTCAGTGAGGATATGAGTTGTTAGACTCCTTTGTGTTGTAATTTTATTCGCATTTTTATTTCAGTGAGGATATGAGTTGTTAGACTCCTTTGTGTTGTAATTTTATTCGCATTTTTATTTCAGTGAGGATATGAGTTGTTAGACTCCTTTGTGTTGTAATTTTATTCGCATTTTTATTTCAGTGAGGATATGCAATCCCGTTTGACAAAACTCCTTTGTGTTGTAATTTTATTCGCATTTTTATTTCAGTGAGGATATGAGTTGTTAGATGCGAATCCAACCCGAATCGTGTTTTGTAGAGCAGTTTGTGATGCATTCCAAGTTACCTGTCCGCTCGAGGAGACATTCCCCCGCTCGAGCGGAGAATGCTGAGTTCTAGAAGTTTATTCGCCTACAAAAATACTGGATGTTGTTTTTTCCCGCTCGAGCGGAACTTTTCGCGCTCGAACGTAGGTCCGCTCGACCAGCTAATCTGACGCTCGAGCGGAGATCGCGGAACAGTTTTCTATAAATACGTGTTTCAGTCCAAATCTAAGATTACTTCTCCAGATTTTCTTCTTGGGTTCTAGGATTTATATCTGAGGATGTTTTGCTAGTTTTCTTTGATGTTTTGATTGAGTATTCAACTCATGATTTAAAGAGTATACATCAAAGGATTATTTGTTTGTTCTACACAAAAGAGAGAGTTGTTCTTCGGTGGATTCTGAAGAATTCGAGCCTGAAGCTTTGGTGGATTTCGGAGTGGTTCATTGTCAAGACAATTCCGAGGTGAAGACGAGGTTAGAAGAGGCACATAGAGGTTGGTTCAATTCAGGCGTGCATTCGCTAGGTAATTGAGAGTATACCTGTGTAATTCCTTTATATCTTCTTAATGGATTGTTTTGTGGCTGTTACCCGTGATTTTTTTATCACAATTGGAGGTGTCCAATTTTGGTTTTTTCACGTAAAATCATTGTGTCGATTTGTCGTGATTGTTTGATTGAGATTGTTATATTCTGCTTAAAATTGATACATAATCACAAATCAACATCTAGAGAATTTCTAGATTTTTCAATTAGTATCAAAGCAGGTTGCTCGTTTTTTTTTTTTAAACTTTTGAGCAAGATCTTGTTTGATTTGTGATAATAGATTCAATTCGTGAGGGAAATTCTATGGTTCGACCACCCATACTTGACGAATCCAATTATTCTTTTTGGAAAGCTCAGATGAGATCATTTTTGAAATCTATGGATGAAAAAGTTTGGCAATCTGTCATGAATGGGTGGACCGAACCAACAATTACCGTTGATGGAATAACTTTTCCCAAACCAATTGATAAGTGGGACACAATTGATTACCAAAATAGTAGCTGGAATAGTAAAGCTATCAATTCTCTCTTTTGCGCTGTCAAACCTGAAGAGTTTAGTCATATTTGCTATTGTGAAGTCGCAAAAGAGGCTTGGGATATCTTACAAACTATTCATGAGGGCACTCTTTCTGTTAAACGCTCAAAACTTCAAAGGCTCACGTCTAGTTTCAAAAACATTTTAATGAAAGATAGTGAGACCTTTGATGAATTTTATGCAAAATTGAGTGACATTGTAAATTTCAACTTCAATTTAGGTGAAAAAAAAATACCAGAATTCAAAGTTGTGGAAAAAATTTTGAGATCCTTGCCTGATCGGTTCCAACCAAAAGTTACGGCTATTGAGGAGGCTCAAGATATTGACAACCTCAAGTTAGATCACTTGGTTGGAAATCTCCAAACTTGTGAAGCTCATTGGAATTTCAAAAAGAAACAAAAAGATATTGTTTTTAGTAGTGCTCATAGAGTTGGAAAGGATTCTGATGAGGATTGTGAGATAGATTCCAAGATTATGGCTGCTTTTGTTAAACAATTTAAAAAAATCTTTTTTGAAAAAGAATCACAATCTTTTGGAATCTACTCATACTCATAAATCTAAAGGCAAAGATAAACTCAAAATTAATTCTATAGCCAAGAAGGAGAAAGGAAAGATACAAGGGAACTCTGAAAGAGTCCAATGCTATGAATGTCAAGGATTTGGCCCCTTTGCTTCAGAATGCCCCACTCGTTTGAAGAAGAAGAAAGCCCTCGCTATCACTTGAGATGATGAATTAGAATCTGATAAAGATGAAAGTGACAACGAAGATCAAGGCGAAGAGGGACATAAACAATTCCTTGCTTTCATGGCGGCTTCTGAAATTGAAGGACGAACAGAGTATCTGAAGGGCCCGGTTGAGAATGCCACTGATGATGAATCCTCCGGAAGTGAGATGAAGAGCTTGAGCAAGCTTATGAAAAGTTGTATAAGGAATCTCTTAAGTTATCCAAATTGAATGAAAAACTCATTATGAAACTCAAAGCATGTGAAAGTGAGAATGTCAAACTAAAGGAAGAGATTTTCGAGGCTAGGAATGATGCCTTTAAGATTTCTAATGATCGACAAGCTCTTTGTGCAAAACTCTTGACTTGTGAGACAGAGAGGAACGAGCTACAACAAATCTATACAACATATGAAGAAAAAATTGAAACTCTCGATATGTCTCAAGTTGTTTTGGAAGAACTAATGATCAAGAAAGAGGAAGAACTCAAGTGTGCTATGGCTACCATTGGTCTTTGGAATAGAGGATCACAGACTTTGGACAATATCATTGGGTCTCAACAAATTTGTTCTGACAAGAGTGGCATTGGCTTTGGTGATAACAAAGAGTAAAAACAAAATGCATCTATATCTCACAATACAAGAACTCAAGGAAAGGGAGAACAAAAAATTCAATGTAAGGATGGACTTCTCAAACTTCCTAGAGCTAGTAAGGTAAAAGAAAAGAAAGTACACCCTGTACACCCTGTTTTTATTTGTCATCATTGTGGTATGCATGGTCATATTCTCCCTTATTGTTATAAGTTGCATGGGAGAGTGTCTCATAAAGATGGAAGAAATTTTAACATCTCATGGGGTAAGAGACACTTCATTGGTGGTAATGAGGTTAAGGGTCATATTAGACCTCGTTATTTTGATTTGCTTGAGACTAAACGTGAATAGAGGTTTTGTTTGTCTAGACCTAGACATAGGAAGTTGGAAACCAAGTCGAGACGGGTTTCCATTGAAAGGGAAGGGAACCACAACGTCAAGACACCACCCAAGAACCGCAATTCTCACAACTTTGTTCATACTAAAGCAGTTTGGGTGAGAAAACTTAACTTGTGTTAATTTGTTTTGTCGTTTTCGTTTTTGGGTTTCTGTGCGTGTTTTTTTTTTGTCATTACATGTGTGCTTGTTCATTTTTTTGTCTTGCTTTATTTTTGAAAAAAAAAAAAATCCAAAAAGATTTTTTTAGTATGGTTTTGCAAGCTTGAAATTTGTGAGTGGTCCTTGGTTTATATTGGAATTGATAAGAATATCCATTACATGTTAATGTGTGTGTACTTTCTGTGGTCATTACTCATTTTGGAGTGTGTGTTTTTTGATTAGTATGTCTCATTCTGTACACATTCTTGAAGTAGCAAATCTTGGAGTCTTCCGCCTTAGTGATTTTTCTTTCTCTATGGACTTCTGTCATTGATCTTTTTTGTTTGTAGAGGAATTGACCTATACTAGCATATTATAGGTGATGTTGAGTCTCTTAACCACCTTCTATCTTTTTGCATCTCCACGGTTTTCCCCTCTATTCTTTGTAGTCCAGTCATGAGGAAATGGCTACCTCAAAGTCACCAACCAGGCTATCCTTATTATATCCACGATTCTCTGGTTCGATTTCCATACTTTTGAGCGTGTCAGCCGCCAATGAATGTGCAAAAGAAAGAAACAAAAAAAAATGTGTAAAAGAAAGAAAAGAAAAAGATGTAAACAAAAAAAGAAAAAAAGAAAAAAAAATAAAGGATTCATTGATTGAGGGGGAGCCTCCGCCTTTACTCAACAAATACCTCTTGATTCCTAGTGGTTTGACTTTCCTGTGTTATGCTTAGATTCTCTAGTCGGAGGTCCAGCTTTGATATCACTACTAGGATTTGAATCTTGTGTTTGTCAAACTCCAAGAGTTACACACACACTTTTCTCATGAGATCTATGCTTTTCACATAATGCATCACTTTCTTTTATGAGGAATCTTCTAGAGGCTGTGCACATTGTGTTTTCAAGTAATTGTGCTTCTTGGATAGTCTTGTGTGTTTTAAGGTACTAATTTGAAATTCCTTGCTTGCTCCACTATATTATTTTTGTCGTTTTCTTCCTGTTCATTGTTTTCAATGTTTGTGGTTGTTTTTCGTGAGGGGGAGTTTGGTTTATCATTGGAAAAGCTTGTTAACATGAACTCTTTGAATTGTTTTGGTAAGGGAGATTGGCCTTAGTTGTGTTGCATGTTGCTATGCACTGCTTCTTTCTTGTTCTCTTTTTGTATGCTATAGTTGTTTAAGCTTCCTTTGTCAATTCGTGACAAAAAAGGAGAGTTATGTTGTCAGGTGCATGTGTCTTAGGTTTTCATGTTTTTCATCTCATGCTTCAAGATAATCTAGCCATATGTTTATTGCTTTTTCATATACTCTTGTGGGACTAATAGTTGTTTTGAAGATTGATATACTCTTATGGGACTAATAGTTGTTTTGGAGATTGTGGCACTAATAGCTGTTTTGCAGATCATGACATTGAGAAAGAAGTTTGTTTTTGTTGACTGTAATGGGTTGGGGTAATTAGGATTTTATTTGTTAGGTGTGTTTTGTCACGGCATTGCCAAAGGGGGAGATTGTTAGGTTTTATTCTTGGTAATCCCGTTTGACAAAACTCCTTTGTGTTGTTATTTTATTTGCATTTTTATTTTAGTGAGGATATGAGTTGTTAGACTCCTTTGTGTTGTAATTTTATTCGCATTTTTATTTTAGTGAGAATATGAGTTGTTAGATGCGAATCCAACCCGAATCGTGCTTTGTAGAGCAGTTTATGATGCATTCCAAGTTGCCTGTCCGCTCGAGCGGACATTCCCCCGCTCGAGCGGAGAATACTGAGTTCCAGAAGTTTATTCGCCTGCAAAAATACTGGATGTTGTTTTTTCCCGCTCGAGCGGAACTTTCCGCACTTGAGCGTAGGTTCGCTCGAGCGGCCAATCTGACGCTCGAGCGGAGATCGCGGGACAGTTTTCTATAATACGTGTTTCAGTCCAAATCTAGGATTACTTCTCCAGATTTTCTTCTTGGGTTCTAGGGTTTATATCTGGGGATATTTTGCTAATTTTCTTTGATGTTTTGATTGAGTATTCAACTCATGATTTAAAGAATATACATCAAAGGATTGTTTGTTTGTTCTACACAAAACAGAGAGTTGTTCTTCGATGGATTCTGAAGAATTCGAGCCTGAAGCTTTGGTGGATTCCGGAGTGGCTCATCGTCAAGACAATTCTGAGGTGAAGACAGGGTTGAAAGAGGCACATAGATGTTGGTTCAATTCAGGCGTGGATTCGTTAGGTAATTGAGAGTATACTTGTGTAATTCCTTTATATCTTCTTAGTAGATTGTTTTGTGGCTATTGCCCGTGGTTTTTTTTATTACAATTGGAGGTGTCCAATTATGATTTTTTTCACGTAAAATCGTTGTTTCGATTTGTCTTGATTGTTTGATTGGGATTGTTATATTCTGTTTAAAATTGATACATAATCACAAATCAACATCTAGGAGATTTCTAGATTTTTCACCATTAATGGATTGGATTCAAGAACAACCTAATGTAAGATTTATGTTTCTATTTTCTATTTATTTTGTATAATGATTTGAATGTACATCTTGCTCTTAGATAGATTTGTGTGATAATCACTTGTGTAGTATTTGGTTCATTCGGTTGAAATAAAATGTAATGGAACAATTATTTTTTAGTCTGTCTATAGAATGATTTGTAATGCATTTTTCAGAATTTCTTTACGTATTGTGTTGGGATCATAAATTTAGATAAATATTTGTAAAGAAAAATAGAAATAGGGAATAGGCACATAATATGGAGTATGTACATAAATAGAAATGCTTCTAGCTTAATCTATTACTAATTAATTCTTTTGTTATGTACTTGTTATATTTTAGTTAATGGTATTACTTGAATGATTGCCTTCTCGATTTTTGATTATTTAATAAATCGAATACAATATAAAATCAGACAATATGATACGATATACATATATACATATACACAAAATGATACGATATACATATACACAAATGACACGATATACATATACACAAAATGATACGATATACATATATACAAAATGAGTACTCTAACTTTAATGCGATCCCACGGTCCAACTAGTATATATAAAATAAAGTACATAAGTTTAAAATAATTACATTGACTCTTAAAAATATATATATATATATATATATTTAATATAAAAAAAGGATGATAATAACATTTCATCTATTTAACTAACCAATTAGTGATGAAAATGAGATTTAATGATGAAAATATGATCAATGTGTGGTGAGACGGAGTCGGGTTGGAAGGTTCCTCCAAATAAGCATTCCTATGATCAAGTTAATTATTTTAGAGAGTTTTTAATATTTTCTTAAGTATTCGTATGTTACATATTTTGATTTGGAAGGCTTCTAAATAAAATTTCGTTTGTCCTTTGTGATGATGACTATTTAGCTTCACCTTCCTTTTGATGTAACATATTTTCCTATCTTGTTCTTTGTATCTTCTTTTCTATTTTTTAATAGGAATGATAGAGATCTTTATATGAATCATTCATGTCACTATCAGATACAATTTTTTAAAAAATTCAAACATATCAATAATTAATACATTAGTGAGAATCATGGGGATCCAAACATTTTTTATTTTTCAGTAGGTTAGTTAGCGGTATCAAACTTTCTTGATATCCGGTGAATGATAATTTCCCTCGGGAACCAATATAAGCTCTTTGATAGGTATGGTGATCTGATTCTTCTCGCCGTTCTTGGCTGCATGTCATCGACGCCTATTCTGCCATGTCAGTTCGCGACGTTATGAATTTTTTTGTTGGTAAACTCCCCCACAATGTTATGCAAATTAAGCTTGATAATGTATATATTTAGTAAAAATATCATCAGTCATTAGTTGACATGGTGAATTCAATTTGATTTCAAGTATTAATTTGATTAATGAAATAATCTTTATAGGGCTGCGTAAAGAAGAAAGATTCATGTAATCAAACCCATTTGATGGGACTTAGGGCTTGTTTTTTTATTTAGTTTGGTTTTAGTCTTTCAATTCTAAAAACTCCCTCAAAATAAAAATCTCAATTGACTGCCTTGAATCATAGAGCCATAGACAGACTCAAGAAATGCTGGTCAGGTGGAAGCTAACCTTGTTGCTAGTCCCTTCAAATTTGGTTAAGATGTTTGATATCATTGATGATAATACACCATTGAGAAATGCTAGTGGTTCAATATATCTTTTCTATCTACAAAGAAAATACATATGTTTAAGAGAAAATGAAAGACAAATCACCGTTACGCTACAAAAACACACACAAGGTTTATCCAAGGAAATTTAGACAGAAACTTGGCAATTCAGATTAGTACCTGATTTTCAAGGCCAAGAAAAAGAAAGAAAAGAAAAGAAAAGAAAAAATAAGAAAAATTGGTACTCTGAAATTCGCAACTCCCGGATTGACAGTTTTAAACGGTGTTTTGTTGATAAGCTTCGGTAGCATCAAGTAGTCGAATTCCATTAACAGACCGGTATGTTACAGACGAAAAGGCACAATCCAATAAACTAATTTAATTTCCCGTTTATTACATTGAAACTTACATAAAATCAATGAATTCCCTTGATGCTATGCTGATGACAACAGCACAAACAGACCAAATCTTGTAGCGGTCCGAATATAATACAAATCAATATCTATCCGACAAACAATCAATATCAATATTTATCCGACACAAACAATCAATAATTTCATTTCAACCTCGAAATATGATTCAAAACAACCAACGTCAAAACCCCAAAAGGAAAACAATATCTAAAAATCACCTGTAGTTAATTGCGGGTGGCTGAAAAAAACGCCTGAATAGCCATTGAAATGGTCTCAGTAGCAGCACTCTCTTCTTCCGCCAGAACCAAATGGCAGCATTATATTGTTCGTTGCGTATCTTACAAGTGGCTGCTTTCCAATCATACTTCTCCATTTCTTCGCGCGCAGCTTTGCCAATAGTTTCTCTTAATTCAGCGTCATGCAAGAGAGGCTTCAATTTGCTCACACAGTCGTCAATGTCTCCAGCGCTGAAGCAATATCCAGTTTTACCCTCTTGGTCTTCGGGAATTATGTCAATGATTCCTCCAGCTCGAGCAGCCACCACTGGAAGTCCCGACGACATAGCTTCCAAAACGACCAGTCCGAGCGTCTCTGATTCTGAAGGCATGACGAAAACATCTCCGCTGGCGTATGCTTGAGAGAGCTCTTCACCTCCTAACATCCCTGTGAATACGGCAGGCATGCCGAAGAACAGCTTTTCCAGATCCTCCCTACCACAAAGAAATCATTCTAGATGAATAAATTTTGCCCATGGTTCTTACTGGAAAATAAATTCAGGCGATCATCATGGCCCAATTTGTGTATCATTGGATGTAAGCAACAATATAAAAATAAATAATTCATTTCGTTAGACAGCGGTTTGTGGTTTTTAATACAAAGAATGATTTTATACTATATTCTGTAGAGATTGTTCTGGCAATGTTGACAAAACTAAACAGCCAATAAGTCCTTAGAGAAATACCTGTATGGTCCATCTCCAATAAAAGCAATTCGTGCCTCCGGTATCTGGTCCATGACACTGTTCAATCATACATCCCAAATGTCAATGGTTACAACTTATACTAATTATGAAAAAAGCATTATTCCGTCAATATTTTGCAAGTAATATTTCCTAAATTGCAAAAGCAGAAAATACTTATCATTTGAAATAAAAGAGCAGTACCTTTTGAGTAAATCCAAACTCTTCTCAACTCCTAGTCGTCCAACATGGACTATCAATGGTCTCTCGGGCTCCCCATTGCTGATTAAAAAAAGAACAATATATTAACATTTGGAGGAAACTCATATGGCATGGCAATGAAATTTTACAGATTGAAAGAAAGCCATACCTTAGTCTTATTCGCATTTCTTGAGAGCGATATTTGGGATGGAAGCTTTCGGAATCAACACCCTTATTCCAGAGACGAATCTTGTTACCTGAAAATAAACAAAGAATTAACATGGATATGAGCTGCTATTTTCAGAGAAACATTTGAAAAAAATAAAATAAAAATTCAAGCAGAAGCATAAATGTCAAATTCTGTTATGTGATCAATGTGAAATTTCAGAGAGTTATCTATTACCTGCTGTTACCCTAGCTGCTTCAAGCTCCTTTGCAAGGGCAGCTGATGGAACCAGTGTAAGATCAGCTGCCCGATGAAGAAACTCTGTTAAGAAAAGAACAAAACTTTCATTTATTAGTTCACAAACACAAAAAGTTAGAATCCATGTGAAATTGAGGTTAGAAACAAAAGTTCACGTACTTATGACCCACCACATAGGTTTGACCAGCCAACTAAAGGTGTATCTTGGTATGTATCTGCAAGTCAAAACAGGAATCGGGCTCAACCCAGAACACTAGATTGACATGTCTAAAAAAAGCCATAGTATCATAATGACAAAATAATACAAATTTATTTATCTGGAAAATCAGCTGTGAATCCAACTTACACTGGAACGTGTGTGTGATAAGACATCACTAAAGGAACGGACAAAAGTTTTGCAATAATGAGAGCACCAAAAACCTATAGATACAAACACAAACTGTCAATGATGCAACACGGGCCAATTTCCTCCATCAATTTTTGAAAGGAGAAGTGACAATACAGCCAAGTGAACAAGAACAGCAATTGAAAGACTTACCATAATACCGGGAGATGATGCGTGTATTATATCAGGCTTAAACTGGGCAACCGCATAGATTATTCTAGGGCTTAGTGCTAGGGATAGGGGGACTTTCTGGTACCAGGGACAGGGGAAGCTGCAAAAAGAATTGAGAACCGTTAGGAAAAACTTATGGTTTTAGGTACTGTCCATTGGCCAATGAGTACAATGCGGTTCAATAATTACCTCGTTCACTCATCCCAGATGACCCACAACAAAAATAAATAAATAAATAAAATGAAAAATACAAGGTAAATCATTCATAAGAAAACTATAATGCAAAAATACTTATAAAAAATCTTATTGAATTTTTTGATGAGTACGAAAAAAAATTATATAATGAAGCTAATGGCATTAACTTGCTAAATAAGAAATGATATGGATAGTACATCTTCACATAAGAAACATATTCCTTTAATATGTTAAATGTACCCAAGGTTATTTTGAGAATCTGGTTTCAAAACGGAAAAATCTGATGCCAACTGGTTCAGTCAGTTGTAACAAGCATAAGAAAAATATATGGGAACGTGTATAATATGCAAATGTTCAAAAGATTATAACTGAAATTACTATAAGAAGACTAGTATATTTAGTAGCAAGAATTCCATTTTGTGTTTGATGAAAGCTCATGAAATCACATTTAATTTTGAATTTAGTTTTTGGCCACCACTTTGGTTCGCAATATTCCAGGATCTCACACATGCTCAAGTATATGAACTTGACTAGATATTAAAAAATGAATCCCTCAGATCAGTATTTACAGTATTTTATTGACAGAATCTTTTGCTCTGCCTCATCTCTTCAAAGTATTTTATTGATATGGATCTTTTGCTTGACCTTGACATAACATGTAAAGTGGCAAGTTTGTATTTAATGAATGAAACTTTAAAGCAATAAAATGCAAGGGCAAACAAAACAGAAAGTACTATATAAAAAGTATTTTGAAATTACGACCTTCGAGATCCAATCAATTTTGCTCCATAAAATTCCTGAGGCACTCCTTCGTGAGTTGTCACAACCATCACCTACAACCGGTGTCCAGAAGCCATTTTATCAGTTAATCATGTGAAGACATTTGTAGAAACTATGCCAAAATAAGAGTTCATGTTTTTAGCTTGTAAACCATCAGGTTTCAAATATTTGATGCAAGTCAAAAGAAAGATTTTGGTTAAGTAATGTTCACAAAGTTTCTAATCATTGACTGACACAATAGTGATTCAAACTTTTTCTAAAGCTAAAGAGGTTGAGTTCAGTCAAGCTTGGACAAGCTTGATTCTGTTGATCAAAGGTCAGGAACCAAAACTTATGATTGCCAACTTAAATCAAGTTCAAAACTAAAAGAATTGAATTTCTTCAGCTAAACATAGGGTGAAAACCCAAGCCAATTCACCACAATGTGCTTGTTATTTGTTACAATGCCTGAGCTTACAATGAGAGCAGATCGCATAGCCAGGAATTATAAGGTTTTTCTCCAAGACATCACTAATGCAATAAAACAAACTTATGCAAAAAGACAAGAATTTACCTCATCTCCCATTTCCCGTAGATATCTAATAAAATTCTGGAACCGATTTTTATACCCGGACACGTAACTGCAAATTCAACAGAAAGCAGGAGAGAGGTTAATGAAACTAAGTTAAGCAGGATAAAAAATAAGTCACAACATGATGTTACAATTTCGTGTTTATAATTCTTTCAAACAAAGACCTACACAAGGCTGGTTTATGTTTTTCCACTAAAAATTTCAACTCTCTTCATTATGATGTTACAAACAATGTAAAAATGGCATCTAAATGATTATGGTTGGCATGTGAAGACAATGTGATAAGATTCTTATGCACACAACTCTAAAGTTTCAACTGAGCAAGTGTACTTAGAAATGAATTAAAGTCTCCAAGATACATTTGATCTCTCAAAAGGCTTATATGCAGTGGCACAAGCTTTACCAGAGATTGCTCCACCTTCCTCTCTTTTCTTTTTCTTTTCTTTTTTTTTTTTTTTCTTTTTTTCATTTCTTGGTATGAGCACTGTCCCATCTTGATTCACTACAAGTTTACAAAAGAATGCGGGCAGATGAGAAGGAGAACTCAACAATGTTTTAAATAAATGTGAATTCCAATTTGTGTCTCTCAAGAAGCACAAATGTCCAGTCTTGCATGTGCATTCTCACATCTCATTCCACCAGAAGCTATAAAGACTTCAAGCACTGCTTTTTGCATGATTTTATTATGGAAAAACTTCAAAAGAGGGAAGCTATAAAGACTACAAGCACTACTTTTTGCACAATTCAATGAATTTATTCTATGTCAACGACGCTAAGAGAGACACATAATTATTCCTCATAAATTTAAAAATAAAAACCACATAAGTAACAGGTCATCTAGCTAACAAGTTATTGTCTAAAGCATAAGCATCCTCAAATTATTATTTGTGACAACCCAGCATATCAAAAGTCAATCGACAAAAATGCCACTAAAGACAAAACTGAACTAATGAAATCAAGATGCACCCTCGCGTCCTCCCACACAATGGTTATTGAACAACAAACTGTCAAACATCTTCAGTAGGAGCTAAATCAAAACTCACATGCATTTTCAACATCAACCATAAGTCCATGAAACTACACGGTATGTACAATATGCTAGCACTCCGCACAATAGAGATCAATAAGCCTAATTCGACAGCCATGTTTGAACTTGACACTATAATAGTCAGGCTACAAAAGACCTATCAGAGTTATAGTTGGTGTGTTGAGCGTGTTTGTTTGGACTTTTTTGAGCCAATTTATACCTTCTAGCTTTGGAAAAGCTATTTTAGACTGTTTGGTTAAACTTATTTCAAACAGTTTCTAATTCTAGCAACTTATTTTAACTCAAAAAAGCTGATTCTGAGAAGCTGCTCACCCATTAATTCAGATTATCAGGCTACAAAAGACCTATCAAAGTTATAGTTGATGTGCTGAGAGTGTTTGTTTGGTTTTTTTTGAGCCAACTTACAACTTCTAACTTTAAAAAAGTTATTTTGAACTGTTTAGTTAAACTTATTTCAAACAATTTTTAATTCTAACAACTTTTTTTAACTAAAAAAAAATTGATTCTGAAAAGTTGCTCACCCTTACTTCTGATTATCAGCTTCTGCCGTAGACATGTTAATTTACGATTATATTCTTAGATTTTTTTATTTTTATTTTTTTAAAAAATAAAAAAAAAGACCCAAATGTACTATAAATTACTATTATTATTTTTTTATGAGAAATGTACACAAGTAATGAATAACAAAAAATAAAGTTCATTGAAAAAGCTACTTCACACCTTATTTAACAAACGCTATTGAGCAATATAATCCAACAGGTACACCAAACAGATTAACAGCTGATTAAAGTCATAATCTATAATCTATAAAGCTATAATCTATAATCTGTTTTAACAGTTACGCCAAACGGGCCGTTATAACTCCACACATCAAACACCAGCTAAGTTAGAAAGCTGACCAAGTCATGTATACAATTTACTGTCAAATGACCTTAAGCTACCATTGTAACTGGAGAAACGAACAAATTATAACTAAACTCCATACTAGAGCACATTGCCAGACTTCATTATAAGAAACAAATCCAATTTAAGCAAATCCCAATCCATAGAACCCACCAAGATTTTGGCACAAAATGTTACAAGCTTTACAGCTTTATTCCAAATCTAATCCACATAGTTCAAATTAACAACTCATCCAGGCACAACCTCACATCAAAGTAATCAGATTCACAAAGATTTCATAGCTGAACCTCACAGCAACAAAGTCAACACAGCAAACACAAAGGGTATACACAACCAATCCAAACCCAAATCATAAAATTGACAATAGAACATCAACAAGAGCACAATTAACCAAATGGGTCACCATAGATTCAACTTTGGATTAACAAAACACTACATACACAAAGATTCTTGTATAAACCAATCCAGAAGTAGAATTAGATACTCACGCAAAGGGAGAGGGCTCAACAAAGAGAGCAATTCGGCGAGGCCTGGAAATAACTTCTGATTCGACCATAAGAGGAGGGCTTTCCTCATCATCCTTGAAATCTGTGATGGTCATGTCTTTTGCTGAGCTCTGAGTCAACCCCCAACTCTTTGGTCTTTTAGAGAGCAAAAATTGAGACTGTGTGCAAGCAAGGCCAATGGGTTGTTGTGGTCTTGGAGGACAAAAAGAAGAGACTTTGAATGGTGGCTGTGAATTTGATGATGAAGAACAAGAAGGGGTATCAGAAGAGCAAGAGGCACAGAAAGATGGAGAGAAAGATGGATTTATAGAGAGAGTGGACATAATGAATATTGATAGATAGATGTTAAGTATATGGTGACTTGTAAAAGAGAGAGAGAGAGAGAGAGAGATGAATCCACAGAATTGGGTATTTGGATTTCGTTAATGTAGGGAGAGAGAAAGCGTGCGTGTGTGGAGAGAAAGGGGGGAGGGAGAGAACGAAAAACCATGAGAATGACTCTCTGTGAGTGAAGGGATATTCTCTCTCAATTGGTGGAATAATTGAAGCTCTTGGAAAGTATATGCTTGCTTGCTTGCTGGTATATACATTCTTTGCACTCGTTTGGAGAAAAAAGTTACGGGTTAAAATAGTTATAAAAATATGCAATAAGTAGAAAAGTTGTTTTTAAATTATAATTATTTTATTTTTTTTATACAAATTTTAAAAAAAATTTAAACAAGACTTTTTAACTCCAAAATAAAAAAGTTAAAAAATTAACTCACATTCTAAACCAACTTTTAGGGAGATTCATGTTGGTTTCTTATATAAATTCAGGGGCAATATGGTCATTTTATCTAGTTATTCTTTCCAACTTTTTGATTTTTTTTCCCCCTTTTTTTGAGAATTAAATACTCCTTTGTTTTTTATTTTTTTAATTATTTATTTATTTTTTTAATAGAATTAAGCTCTTCATTTGTTTATTTTATTGTCACAGATCTCAAAATTTTAAAAATCTAATAGGATAATGTCTTATTTTTATATTTAGATTGGAATTTTAAAAAATCTTGAATCATCATTGAAAGGAAGAAATCCAACCCAATGATCAATACATAGATATACATATTAATGAATCACCTACAATTTTAATGTAATATTCCATTAAATGACTTAAGAAATGATTGTTGCTTTTATCACATTAGATCCACTTACAATTTTAATGTAATATTCACACATCAATTTTGAATTATTTATTTATTTATTTATTTATTTTTTTGGAAGCACAAGGGAAGAAAATGATTGTTGCCTTTATCATATTAGTCCAAAAACTATGATTCAGATAAGGAGAAACAATGATTTCAAAAGTTTAATGAAATAGATATTTCTTATTAAGTTAATATCTGAATTCAACTCTCACATTTGTGTAATATAATTTCATTTTTCTATTCCTATCAAACTGATTTAAAACAAAAACAAAAACAAAAAATATAAGTACATGCTAGCATGTGACAATTTGGGTTGGGTGGTCCTAGGTTTTTTTACCAAATTTTCCTTGCCAATAACAAAATTGAAGCTATGTGAGCTTTATCTTTTTTGCATTAATGGTGATGGTTTTCAAAGGAGGCAAATCAGAGTTTGGCTTATGGAATAAGATAGGAATTTGTTCTTGATTCTACTAAGCATTCGTTTGGTTACCTTAGGTGGGCTAAAAAAGCACAAAAGGCAAAGTGAGTGTTTGGGAAGTGACTATTTTAAAAGTTTTTTGGTTTTTTACCTATTTTAATAGGCTATTTTAGGCCTGGTAAAAAGTAAAAAAATTACAAAAAAAAAAAAAAAATTATCATTATTCACCCAAAAAAATAATAAAAAACTTAATTTTACACAAAAAATAATAAAACTCGTCGACGTCCCACAGGTGAAGCTAATTTTTTTGAAAAAAATTGTACAGCCATATTGCACAAAAAGCACGCTGCTGTTTAGGCCGTAGGGGGCCATCACGAGTCCCGTTTTGATAATCTGAACCGTTCAATGTGTAGAACTCGTCGAGTACTATATGTCTGTAAAAAATCATGTTGATCGGATAACGCTAACTATATGACCAAATTAGTTTTGTATAAAAAAATAGATGGTGTTATAGTTAACAGTTGAAAAAAAAACTAATCCGATCAGATAGTTATTGATATCCAACCAATCTGATTTTTTACAAGTATATAATATTCGATGAGTTCTACACATTGAACAGTTTCGATTAGCAAAAAGAGACTCGTGGTGGGCCCCTACGGGCCGAACATCACAGTCTAATGCAATGCCCGCAAATGAGACAACCATTTCTTATGTCAAATGCCTCTGCCTAAGACGGTTGGCCGTACTGCTACTCTCCCTACCTTCTCCTACACATTAATTTATATAATTTTTTAACATACGTTTTTTCGTAAAAAGTCAAAAAGTTAACTCAAACAACCATATTTTTTTTCTCAACTTTTTAGTCCAAAAAGACAAAAAGTGCACTTATTTAGGACACATCAAACAACCCTACAACCCCTAGTTTTTGTGTTTAGGAAGATAGGATGGATTTTTATTTGAGTTGGTGTATTGAAAAATATGTTGAAATGATATTTGAAGTTAAAATGACAAATTTGCCCCTAACCTTACATTTTTCAAAATTAATCTAAAGGGGTAAAATTGTAATTTACCTACCTGTCACTGTAATAGTTATAGGCTGTGCCTGCACTGTCACAGTGACAGCCCACTACTGGGCTTCTTCTTCTTCTTTTTTTTAAAAAAAACTTTTGATTTAGGAACTTTTAGACTAAAATTGTTTTTGAGGCTATTTTAGCCATAAAGTTAGGTTCCCAAACACCCCCAAAATAGGTTAAATAAGTCAATAAGACAAAATATCATTTCTAAACCATAATTATTTCACTTTTTCTCTTATAAAAGTCAAAAAAATCAAGCCAAACAAACTTTGTAGTCCCAAGCTAAAAAAATTTCAACTAAAAAAAGCTAACCAAAAAAATCAATGCCAAACAGCGATTAATTGTCTAGTGTCCAAAAGTTTATGTAAGGCATCAAAGAAAGTGTGTGATCAAAAACCCATCTTACATGACTTTTTAACACTTATATATATACTAGCGTATATTCATGCTTGAAGATACGTTGTAAATAATGTTAGGATTAGAATATAATTGTAATTCTAACACTATTTAAATTTATTTTTTTAAAATTTTGGAGTTCTTACAAAACTCCTCACGAAATCTCGCATTTGCTTATATAATATATAGATAGATAGATAGATAGATGTGCCTAGTATACATACAATTTTCACGGGCATACATACAATACTGCTTTTGCTTATATAATTATATGGAAATTGTATGTATGCCCGTAATGTCATAGTGTATTACGGGCATACATACATTGTATGAAAATACGTGTAAAATATATTAAACAAAAAGGGAAAAAAAACAAACAGAGAGAAATAAAAACGGGAAAAAATAAAAAAATAATAAAAAAAAAGAGAGGGAGGTGGGATCATAGGATGATGGAAGGATGGGTGAAAAAAAGAAAAAGTAAGAGAGAGAGAAACGGGAAAGTAAAAAATGTACATGTGAGATATTTTTTGAAAAATATATTTCAGTCATTGTTTTATAATTTGAACAGATCTGAGCCATCCAACTGGATGAGTGGAAAAAGGAAAAAATAAGAGAGAGAGAAACAAGAAAGTAGAAAATGTACGTGCAGGATATTTTTTGAAAAATATATCTCAGCCGTTGTTTTATAATTTAGACAGATCTGAGTTGTCTAAATGTCCTAATAGGACAAAAATATGTAAGAAAAATTCAAAAACCATCTTGCTTTATTATATAGATGTTGAAAATTCATATGAGGTCTAAATTTATAAAATCTATCAGATATTCAATATATTTAAAAATAATAATTAATTGTTCAAATTCATTTAATTTGTGGATTATAAAATTTATTAATTTAATTTCCATTGCACACCATAAGTGGAAAAAAAAAAGAGAAAATAAAAAAATAAACAAATAGAGAGAAAAATAAAAATGGGGGAAAATAAAAAAATAAAAAGAAAAGAAAAAGGAAGGTGGGATCATGAGATCATAGAAGGATGGGTGAGAAAAAGGAAAAAGTAAGAGAGAAGCGGGAAAATAGAAAATGTACATGTAGAATATTTTTTGAAAAATATATCTCAGCCGTTGTTTTATAATTTGAATAGATCTGAGCCGTCCAAATGTCCTAGTAGGACAAATGTGCATAGAACAAATTCAAAAACCATGTTACTTTATTATATAGATGCTGAAGATTCATATGAGGTCTAAATTTGTGAAATCTATCAGGTATTCAATATATTTAAAAATAATAATTAATTGTTCAAATTCATTTAATTTGTGAACTATAAAGTTCATTAATTTAATCTCTACTACACACAGTAAAATAAGTGAACAAAAAGGAGAAAAGAAAAAAAAAAAACAAATAGAGAGAAAAATAAGAATGGGAGAAAATAAAAAAAATAAAAAGAAAAGAGAGAGGAAGGTGGGATCATGGGATCATAAAAGGATGGGTGAGAAAAGGAAAAAGTAGGAGAGAGAAGCAAAAAAATAAAAAATGTACATGTAGGATATTTTTTGGAAAATATATCTCAGCCGTTGTTTTACAATTGAATAGATCTGAGCCGTCTAAATGTCCTAGTAGGACAAATGTGTGTAGGACAAATTCAAAAACCATTCTGCTTTTATTATATAGATGTTTAAGATTCATATGAGGTCTAAATTTACGAAGTTTGTCAGGTATTAAATATATTTAAAAATAATAATTAATTGTTCAAATTCATTTAATTTGTGGACTAAAAAATTCATTAATATAATTTTTACTATATACAGTAAAATCTGGCTCCTAATTCTGGGATCATAGACTTTTGCAAATAATAAGAATAAAAATAAGTGAACAAAAATGAGAAAATAAAAAAAAAACAAATAGAGAGAAAAATAAAAATGGGAGAAAATAAAAAAATAAAAAGATAAGAAAGAGGAAAATGGGATCATGGGATCATAAAAAGATGGGTGAGAAAAAAAAAAGGTAAGAGAGAGAAGCGAGAAAATAGAAAATGTACATGTAGGATATTTTTTAAAAAATATATCTCAGCCACTGTTTTATAATTAGAATATATCTAAGCCGTTCAAATGTCCAAGTAGCACAAATGTGTATAGAATAAATTCAAAAACCATCTTGCTTTAGTGTATAGATGTTGAAGATTCATATAAGGTCTAAATTTACGAAGCCTAGTATGTATTCAATATATTTAAAAATAATAATTAATTGTTCAAATTCATTTAATTTGGGGATGATAAAATTCATTAATTCAATCTCCACTACCCAAAGTAAAATCTAGCTCCTAATTTTGGGATCCCAGACATTTTCATATAATATGAATAAAAATAAGTGAACAAAAAGGAGGAAAAAAAAAAACAAACAAACAAATAGATAGAAAAATAAAAATGGAAGAAAAAAATTAAAAGAAAGAAAGAAAAGGAAGCTGGGATCATGGG